TAAACAAAACAGGCAAAAAAACTTGATTTAAAACGGTTTTTTATTTTTCAAGAATCAATTTGATAATTTTCAGCGACAAAAGCGCTACTACGTGCAAATATACTCGCACGAAGTTGTTGTGGAATCAAATAACCAGTAAGAACGTTAAGCTTCAAAGTGGTGACAATTTTTCTCGAAACGGCGCCAGAGTGCACGGTGGAATTTTTAAAAATACCGATGTTGTAACAAAATGGCGGAAATTTTTTAGCACAGAGGTATTTTTATGCAATTGGATGGTGTCTTAAATTCAGATGCAACTGAAACGATCCCTCCTACGCGGCACATGTGTAGGTTATGATCGATGTATTGAAGATAGCCGCCAGTGACATACATCTTAAAACACTGAAGTCAATCCATAATCAAGATTCCACCTCGACCACAAACCACAGTCTTGGCAACGATACCTAATGTCGCTGACTGATTCATATCTGTCTATCGATCCACGTCTACTTTAAATTGAAATTTGCACATCAATTCACATTCGCGTAGGTGGCGGCGAGCAGAAGAAATTATCTTGAACTGTCAGGAGTGTCGCATCTAGGATGTGGGAGTCATGACTCGTGCCATATATATGCACCGTTTGATTTAGAGCGCAAAATGGGAATTTTTTATTAAAAGAATACCAAATTGAATATAATTGAAACTTTATCACTTATTATTATTATCACTTAAATAATAACGTAGAAGTATCTCAGTTCAATAATAGTCGTTGAAAATTGTCAGTCAACGAAAAAAGGGCGTATTTTTCAACGTTGCCATGGGCGCCATTTATCTAGATACGCCGCTGATTGTCAGTCCTCATGATTTTTACCCTTATTCTTTCTCAATTTCTAAAAATTCCTGTTGGTCTACTGACTGACTACCAACAATTTTAGTCGGCTAGTTATGATAATATGCTAACAGTATTTTATTGTGAAATTTATGAAAACTGCTTTTGAAAGATTTGAAATGTAAATATCCAAAATAAGGCGGGAAAAATCGAATCTAACAAATATTTTTATTCAGCTTCACGCCCCCTCAAAAATTGTCTACGTCCCCCTTGTAGGGCGCGCCGCACCGTTTGAAAACCACTGCTATCATAATTCATTGGTTTCCTATTACACGTGTTATATTTTGGAACTTTAGTTTAAAGTCACTCTCGCTCCCAAATCTTTTCAAGTTTCTTTTTTGCTCCAGTTTATTAAATTATTCACATTTGAATCATCGACTTCTTGCCTAATGCTCGAATGCTTATTGATATAATTTGTGTCAACATCCGTCCATTTCTCGATAGTAAGATACTTGGTAAAACATTGGTTATTTTGGATATTTACATTTCATAATTCTGGATATTTACGTTCCATCCAAGTATTTTCAACGTGCTTTTTAATAAAACATACTTTCACTTTACTTTCTGTTGTTTGTAGCTTATTTCTAGCTAGTTATTTTTGAGGCGAGACTGAACAAATTCTAAAAAGGAGGGACGGCCTAAAAAGTTTGAGAAGCACTGTGATAAAAGATAGGTCAAGTGATTCATGAAACATTCCACACAAACCGTATCGTTAGCATATCACAGCAGTCATGGTAACCTCGTTGTTGTGGTGTGAGATCACCGTGCAACTACGTAAGTGAAATTTCAAATCCTGCAACCCACTCAATAAATACATTGTACATTGTGTTTGTTAAATAATAAAATCTTTGGATTGTTAGCCTGAAAAACAATTCAGATTATTTGCATTATACTTTACACCCATTGTGTCCTATAACCATTCCGGTAATCAGAATGTTTTTTGCATGCCCCTTGACCCGCCTTTCTTAATACTAATCAACTATCACATTTTTTTCGCCTTAAAAGCAAATAGTTGTTTAACTTTGATCCGGGATATTCGGTTACGTTGTGGAGGTTTTATGTGTTGAACAAACAATACTAAGTGGCGGTGTCACACCACAAGCCAAAATTTATGTAAGTTTACATCGGTCATCACATTTCGAACATGTGGTATGAGTGAACAAACGCATAGTCGTATTATTAGTATCATCGTTACTTAGTTACTTTGTTTGCTGGCGACAGTGAAATCTATTTCCCACCCAGCGACCGACAGTGTACGCTTGGTGGCGCCATTTCTAACTTGAATGCAAAGCTCGTATGTACTGCTTGGATGTATCTGTTGCCTGATGAGACGTCAATTTGCAAAGAAAAATTCAAATAGAACATATTTTAAATTTAATTTTATGTGAAATAAGCTGCATCGCCTATCCATTTTTGCAAATAAGACGATGGTTGGTTCAGTCGGAAGAACTTCATTTTATTTCAAAAGTAACAAATATTGCAAAAAAATCGCAAACTTAATTGCATGCGTATACATTCATACAATGTGTAGATAACAACATTATTTAGGTACCCAAATTTGGTAAAACAGAACGTTGTTACTATCACGACTGTCCTTAGTCCATGACAACCACAGATGTCCTTGTACTTACATAGGACCTGTGCTAATTTTAGTTAAGTTTGAGTTATAAATTTAAATCATTATGGTTTATAATCATATCTACAGATCAGTTTATTCTCTAAATGCAAGAGTGGTAAAGTTATATTACTCGGGATTTTGTACTCAATTAAAAGACGAATTCATTTCCATCAAAAATTTTGATTTTCAGTTATTAATCATTTATCTATATCTAGACTGCGACCCGCGTTTTGCATAAGGCCCCGCCCGTCCTGGTTGCCATGATCGCTAAATATTAGAAATTATGCTGTTACTAGGCTCCGTCAATTAACAAACTAGACATAAAACAATATCATATGCAATAAATCATGATATTCAATACATTAAAAGCTCTTTTACAAACTTAACAAAGACTAGCTGATTTCCGTTTCATAATTTCGCTCATTAGGTTAAAACTTTTGGGGTGTGTGTGTTTTACTCAGTCTTTTTTTCTCTCTCTCAAATCACAATTCCTATGAATAAAAACTCCACCTCCGCCACACCGCCTCCGCCCAGAATATGGCAACCGAATTTTAACTTTGCGAAACAAGCACACCTTTTCTGCGCAGTGTTGACAACCGTCTACATATATTGGCCCAACTCTACATGGAAATACCAGAAGTATCTGAGATCCGGTGTAGTTGGCTTGAAGGAGCCAATTATGTAAAACTTGCTCAGAATATACTGGTTGGCCAGATTAGGAGCGAGAAGAATTCGGGACGGTCACGTCCATTGTTGTTATACTGAAAGATTAAGCGCTCTGATGATATACAAAAACATAACTCGAATGCAAATTGTTAAGAAAAATTTTCCAATTTTTTTCCAATGTAAAAATTAAGATAACGTATAAATCCATTGCCGAGTGCTTAATTAAAGACTTAATGAGGTCAGGGTTTATCAGTCCACGTCGTCAATAACCCAGAATCAGAGTTATTTTATCAGAGGTTAGTTTATGTTCCTTAAAAAGGATTTTTTAAATAGAGTTCTTACAATAATTTATTAATTACGAATTGCTCCACCATCGATCGAGTCTTCATCACCCCGTAGATGAAACTTGCCATATGAGTTGCTGACGTAATCAAACAGTTAACAGAAAACATATATCAGTTTCCAGTTTTTGTTGTTCTCGCATTTCTAATTATTATTAAGACATATGATATTTTTTTTGACGAGGGAAATAGTATTTCAAAATAGATATTATAGTGACAAATTAGTTGTCAATTTGATATTTTCAATCAGCGCCAATGATATTGTTTTTTGTAGTTTACATTATCGGTTCTCAAACTTTTGGTGTTTTGGATCCCGTGAAGAGGCTGGTAATTTCAATTTTGAATTACCGCCTGGTTTTACATTGGTGCCGTTGTCAAACTATATTAATGCCGTTATTGCTCTTTGGACAGTTACAAAATTACCGAGTCAGTATTTTGATAAATAAACGAATTGCTAGCGGGTCCCCTAGGCTTCTCTCACAGAGCTCTGAGACTCCGTATTGAGCACTTTGAGAAACATATGGTTTATATTACTTTACGCATGTACTCCACGTTTACTTCATCAATGACCATAAGATATAGTGTACTGGTTGTACAGCAATAGCCCATTGACAGTTGCTGGCTGCGGAACCGCGAAATATTACAAACCCTACTTACTTTACTTACCAATAAATGAAAATGATGTTTTTTAAGTAAAAAAATTTAATAATATTGAGATTATTTATCATATAACGAAATACACTTGGCTTGAAAGATATATTTCAGTGCAGAAAAATTAAAATTATTACGTCTGTGAATATTTAGAATATGACGGTCGGATTGACACTATTACCATTTTTTAAAATGATTAACCTATTTTGTATTACGAACATTAAATGACACACATATTAAATATGTCAGATAATAGGTTAAATAATAGATTTTTGTATTGTCTCAAGGAAGCGCAATTTATATAGTTATTTTAATTAAGATATTTTATTCCAATTCTGGCCGTTTCAAGCTGGAATTTTATAAAACGCGATCTGAAAACGTTTATTAGATTGGTCACGGTCGTATGGTTGATAAATGAGATAGCTTTTCGTCATATATCTAAAAAGTCAAAAATTTATGCTTATTTTAATGTATTCGAATTTTTTTTTTTTTTTTGCATATTTTATATATATAATATATCCGGAGAAAGGTATCGGTAAAATACGACATTGGAAATTTTGTTACCGGCATATTATTATTTCTCTGCAATACCTCACTAATATCCGTTATTATAACTATTTTGTTTCATTTTATTTCCAACTTAAACTTGGTTACCAATACGTCGAGTAAGTGCACTCGTGATAATATGCCAAATTAACATTTTGTGTGAGATTACTTAATTTAATATCTTACATCAAAGCTCGTTTTAACGACGTAAATTTGGTTTTACGTATTAATCTATTTCGTTAGACGGTAATAACATTATTATAAAAGGTTTCGAACTATATATATTTAAGAGGAATGTAGTTGATTTCAGAATTAGTGCACTTGACAATTTGTCTTGTTTTCATAAAAAGATTCCGCGGCTCGTATTCCTAGAATACTATGATTTTCGATTTCTGGGGAAGAAATCAAGTCTGGATCCAAATTTTGTGGACCGAAATGGAATAATAGTCGAGAAATAGAAATGAAGTTTTATTCCCCAAACCTTTCTATTATGGCTGGTCGGTGTGCATCACGATGATGGTTTTGGTTTCCACTCCAATCAAAGTCATTATGACTCACTTTTGTACCAAAGTTGATTACTTTGTTTAGACACTTGTTCTTGTTATACAGCAAATTGCCCGCTTTCAGTATTTTTGCCTTTATATATATATATTTTTTAATTTACATAACTTTTATACATTTTTACAGCATAAAACGTGTGTAAAACCAAATAGACGTCGAGATTTACCATAAAAAAACTGTTATGACTTCAATAATTGGAATCAGATTGACTTTGGTTGTTGCTGTACTTCTGTGTATGCTCCTGAGCTATCGATCTCATGCTCAATTGATCGAAATAAAGCACACGGAGCCGTAAGTAACATGTTACTGTTTCGTATATATGCTAAATAATGTTGTTCATAAATTAATTTAGGAATATTCACTAAAAATATACTTAAAATGATGGAAACGTTCCACACGGATCTGACGGACATTCATATTTGTAATTGAAATCGGTTCTACAATAAGTGAACTATCTTGTCATTTTGTAATGAATTAAACGGTTATATCTTTTATTTTTTTCCAAGTTACTTCCTTTGAATTCTTTTTTATGTAAAATTAACCTAATTGAGTTAATTTGATAGCGTTTTATTAATTTTTATTTTTGGCTCAAGTTGCTCATTACAGGATTCAAAATTTCAGATGCTTGAACACACCAGAATCTGTTAATTGTAATAAAATTACTCCGTCAGCATTTTATTTTATACAAAGTTATTCCTCGCTCAAATCGCCAATTTTATTGTTCCAAATTTTAGATCTTCCGCTTGCGAGTCCGGAGACGATATCAAAAAACTCTACGCTTTCAAAAACTCCACGCTCAAAGTTCAAGGAACCAAATGCAAATCCACAATAGAAAACTGCAAATCCATTAAAGTGGATGTTTCTCTTGGGAATGATTCTGAGATGATCGAAATATGCCTTGGCACCAGGCTGGAACAAGTGTGCAAATTCAGATAAACGCAAAATAATGTTTCTGTGATTCAATTACATAGCCTTGCAATTCTATTTTACTTTCTATTTATAATTTATACTTTAATAATAATTTGTTTCATCCTTGACTTTGGCAATCATGTGATCAACAAACAGCACTCGCACGTTTACCGGCACTTTGGTATTACTACTTGTTTTATCGTTTTTGGCCAAGTTGAGGCTTTACGTTTATGATATCTAAACAAATTTGTATCGTTTGTCGAAGATTTTGTAGTACGTATACCAGGTTAGAGTTAGGCCATAATTTTATTACGATTTTCCTTATTTTAGTTCTATTACTTCGAATTAGGCTTTACATTTAGGAATATATCTGGTCACATAGGAAACACCTAATTCGATCTAAAAACCTATAGCGCAGTATTTACCAACCTCTGGGTCGCGACCCAAAACTGGGTCGCCTGAAAATCTTTTTGGGTCTCTTGTGTTTTCATCCCAAATCTAAAAGTTATTGATTCTACATTTTAGTAAATTTTATTGATTCTTTCATATTTGGTATTCAAGTTTTGCTTAAAAATAATTGTATACATTAAAGGAACACAGGATAAAAAACTTGTTGATGGCAAACCAGCGTACCTTCCTCATTCTGAAGTAATTTCTGGGAAAATAATTGTTCATGTAAAAATGACTGTTTCAAGATTTAAGTTATTTAATTTTTTCACCATAAAAGCCCTACATTACTATTTGAGCATATTTTGGGTCGCGAGACCAAACCATTTTTTTTTTCTTCCAAATTCGGATCGCTTGAGAAAAATGGTTGGGAACCACTGCTCAAGTATATAGTTAATCAGGCAATTGTTCCATCAGTCTGATTTTATAACCCTGAAAATATTATATTCATATTTGTGTCATTCGATATTTCCTAACTAACGACAGTAGAACTATCATATCATTAATTACATTTAGACTGCGATATCACGTGACCTTTATAGCGTTGTCACTAAAAAAAATTGTTACGTTCTTATGCTTTAGCAATTTACTTTTTTCAATGTAGAAGCTTGTTGCAATTTTCTCTATTATTTTTTTTGCTGATGATATATACTAGAATAAAGATGATGTAATAAGCTATGTGTGTACCGGTGTACAGTATTTTACAAACCATAAGACGCACAGTGTTATGAGACGCACCGTCATTTAAATTGCGTGGATTGAAGGTTTTATCCGTACTTATAAGGCTCACCGGAAGGTATTCCTTGAAGTATGTGAACCAACATGGCGGATACCGGAACGTAGTATGTGTACCAGATTAGGGTTAGGTCATAATTTCATGTACAAATACTACGGGAGTCACTTGGCTAGTCCCCGAATTCGTAATAAAACTAAAGTAAGGGATATTGGAATAAAATTATGTCTACCCACGGAAATATATCACTCAATCGGCATTTGTACTGGTTTTTGAGTGTGGGCAATATAGCATAAAGCTTAGTTGCATCACGCTCGCGTGGTAGTTGGTTGAATATCGGTAAAGTCGGTTGGCGTATTATCGGTACTGACGTCGGTAATTAGCTTCGCCAGAAAAGTAAGTGAGTAGTAAGGCGCGCGACCGATTTTTGAGAAAAAGGGGATTTAAAGTGCGCCTTATGATCCGTAAAATACGGCAATAGTTTCTTTTCAACATAGTTATCTTCTTCGCCTTGATAACTGAAAGCAGCTTAATTAAGTGTTTTTCGCATCTTTCATAAACGAGTCTCTAATCAGGGACATCGATGACGGTATAGGAATGTTTCCGGTAGATTGAAGGCCTTGCGTTTGCAACACTGTTAAACTAAAGTTAAAACATTCAATATCGCAGTGATCACAATACAAGCCACTTTGTAGAAGATAATGGTCGAATATTTTGTAGAAAGCTCCGACACTGATGCAAAATGTGAGTTTGAGAAAAACATCCCGCCGCGTTTTAATACAAGAGAGCTGTGCTCAAATATATGGACACGTTAACCAGAGCAAAGCAGTATTTACCTTTGACGCCACCGGTACCCACAAAAAATTCCGAGTTTAGCGTAGAAATAATTTACAGAATCAAACCGGACAGCCAGTGTTCCCATGGATAAAATAATACAGCGAAATTTTAGACGAAATATCAGATTCCGTGCGAGAAAATTTAGAAATAAATAAAAGTAATAGCCTTCTGGCAAAAAAATCAATCTTTACTCACTGAAAATTTCAAAGCAATTGGTCCAGTATTCGAAGAGAAAAGCGATTTTTTAATGATAATGACGAAAGAAAATAACAATAACAACAAAATTTTGAAACGATCGTTATGGCCACTAAACGTGTCCAATAAGAAATTAGTAATTATACTGTTAGGGATGATTTGAAAATTTAAATTTCCAGCGCAGTCCGTATTTTTTACCCTAACCCTAATTGGATAATTACTATTTTATTATTTTGATCGGCGATGAGGGTGTTTTGGGCGTAGGCTTTCTACATAAGATTCTAATTGTTTAAAGCCAGATGCTCACCACCTTTACCAGGGTGTAATAAATTGCGAACCGGAAAGATTCCGCCATGGTCGAAATTAGGGTACTCCCGAGGTATGTGAACCAAGATGGCGGACACCGGAATGTAGTATGTGTACCAGGTTAGGGTTGGGCCATTATTTTATTCCAATTTTTCTTATTTTAGTTTTATTCCGAGTTCGGGCACTAGCCAAGTGACTCCGTAGTATTTGTACCTGAAATTATGGCCTAACCCTAACCTGATATCGCCATCTTGGTTCACATACTTCTCGAGTACCAAATTGGCATCTTCTGACATTTCAGTGAAAAAGTGGAAGGCTTGATAAACTAGAAAAAATAAATTATGAAAACATCTGATATATTTAACCCTTTCACTGATTTTCAGATTGAAAATCTATTTTCGAGTATGTAATATAGATGGCCACACTTTGACAATGCTACTCATTGGACACGAATAGTCGTTCGCGGTTAAATAAATACGTATATTTCAAATTGTCAGTGCATTGGCCCCAAGGCACGACGTTTCGCTTAAGCGGGACTCGACAATTAATAAACTTTTCACGGTGTTAAAGTATTATTGGTATTTCCAGAAACTCATTTATTTAAATTAACAGCACGGTGTTTAAAAACGCCAACTTCCAGGCATTACCAATATATTTTTGAAGACAATAGACAATAAAAGGCAATTTAGGAGCAACTTATGCGACCGTAATAAAACCATCGCGGGTTGGAAAATAAGATTTTTCATTTTACAGTTCGGTCCATAGATAACACCTGATAGACTTACGTTGCACTGTATTTTTATCTTCGTTGCGTGCTTGATCTTTGATAAAACAAATATGCATGGGTATTATGTGATTCACTTCATTTTGAGATAAAATTATACGATAATTTATTGGATTAATATTATTAGAATCATAGGAAGCTTTGGAATACGCGAATAATGACTCATTTTTGATGCATTCGTCATTTGCGAACGTCTAATTCTTAATGCATTTGAAGAAATGCCAAGTGTATGTTACTCGTGTGGCCAAGTCTGGCAAGGATATTTAATACTGGAGAGGATTCGTATATCATTTATTGACATTCGATTATAGAGGTAGATTGGATGAAATATTAAATGCGGCTTTTACCAACGGGGTCAGGGTAAACAATTTATAACTCTTTGGCAGAATATTTATACTGTGTTTTATAAGTCTTGATTCGATTGCTGAATATACCGAGTTTTCACCCATTTGTATTATTGGGTCTAGTCAAAGCAGAACCATAATGAAATTTTGATTGCCATAATTTTTTTATTATTTACGTCTCATTTAGATTTATAAAAGGATCATTTCTATGTCGATAAAAAATTGAAGTTTTTTTTAAACACATCAACCGCTAAAATGGGAAATATTGAATAGGAGTCTTCTATTTGATTAGGATAACGCTCTGTTTACAATTAGAAATAAATACAAAATGCATAATTGCATCGAATAAACGACTAAACTAATCCCTAAAATACCAACTTTTTCGAAACTTATCAAATAATTAGGAAAATTGAGTTAGGTTTAAGGGGGAATGAAAAAGGAAAATAAATACACCTTTTGTGCGTTCATAATCCCCATTTTACACTCATTAGTTGACTTTTATTCAGGCCAAATATACTCCATCGGGAGAGCAGCATGCGTCACTCCAAGAAAAAGTGTTCCAAAGAGTTGTTCTCTCGTTTTGTTTTGTTCAATCTTTTGTCTGTTAGTCATTTCAATTCTTTCATTTCAACTTGGCAAGCGTACTGGTATCAGTGAAGGATATTTTGAAATTTAATAACTATTTCTTGGAATATACATCTAAAATGAAACGAAGCAAAATTGAGGCAGACAATGAAATTGTAACATCCAATGCCTTGTCGATGTAAAGGAACGGCATCCGCGAAATTGAAATTTAATTGTAATACAATTATCTTAAATTATAACTTAAGCCTAGCCTACGTAACAAGTAGCACATATGTAGTAGATGAATAGCCTATTATATGTTAAGTACTTACTGCTGAGATGATGGATACTTTGGGGCATGAATCTGGCCCTCAGGGCACAATTTTAACGCCACCGAATTCGAGTTACATCACGCTCGCATGGTAGTTGGTTGGGTTATCGGAAAAGTCGGTTGGTGTGGTATCTGTACTGACGTCGGTAATTAGCTTCGCCAGGAAAGATTGGGTCGTTATTGATAACTTTGTTACCTAGTCTATGCAAGCGAATTACGGTGAATGCAAAACAACAGTTATGTCAATTAATACTATATACTTCTCTTTATTGAATGAGTATGAGTAACTATTAACTTTCAGTTTGAGTGTGAGTGTGTGTGTTGAGTTGTTTGAAGAGGAAGAAAAACATTTTTTCAGTAAATAAAGTAGTTCATTGTTGACATACCACGAAATTTGACCAAATGTGTTCAGATTTAGTGAAGTAATGCGCCTATACTTCATAGAATTGCTGAAAAGACTTCTGTATCTTTTTACGGCCTGTTGCAACTTTACTAGTATAGCAAGACAAAAGTTTTTGAATAAATTAAGTAAAACGTTTTTGTTCAAATTACATAATATGCATTATGAGAAAAGCAGGCCTGTACAAAAGTTTAACGGCTCACCAATTTAAGAAGTATAGCAATGATACATGTTGAGGAGAATTTCGAGAACTTAGCATTGCGAAAGTACCAGCACTAAAAATACAATTTTTCACAAGATTGCTATTTTCTAATTTTTGGTAACACGGGACAAGTTCCAATAACGTTTAATGCAAGAAAAAAGCGTAAAACCAAACATTGTCAACCTATTTATTATTATCAAAAATAACCCGATTTCAGATGTTTGCCCGTTTGGATTTTGGAGCTTTTGGAACGGAACGATGTTGAGTCTCTTAAATTTATAATAAAATTTTACATTGAGTATATCAAGCATGATCAATCGTTCCCTGTGCATTAATAAACAAAATAAAGAAGGCTCGGGATCATGATTTCAGAAGAGTTATATAAAATTAATGTACAACCTACTAAAATGTATAACTATCTTTTTTGCAGATAATATACGTTTTAATCTTTTTTTTTTTATATATATTTTTAAATTGAAGTGTAATGTTGTCCTTTCGAGGAATATGTTTATTATTAATGTCATGTTGTGGAATTGTTACGTCAGGTGAGAATGTTGTTATGTTAACAATAAATCTAGCGATAATTTGGACCCTGATACAGTCCTGATAAAAATACAGTTATTATGATAAAAGAAAATATTTTACGTCATTTGTTTTTCCATTATGATAAACGATACATTAGTTTTGTTATATAAATGAAGGCTCAATAAAATATAATTTCAAAATGACCCAAAGTTACCGAGATTTTATCGCAATTTTGTGCTATTTGAAGTTCAGAGTCAATCGGTGAGATGCTAAAAAAAATTAAAAATTAATCATTTTTATACGTTTATTCTTTTTGTTCAAATCTATCAACGGTTTTCAAATGTACTATTTCGGCATAATTTTTACTTTTATTTATCGTCAAAAGTTACATAGACATATTAGAAACGATAATATAACTCAGATAAAGCACTGGTAGTATGACTTACAAGCGAATCTTACTGATATATACCAATTCAATATTATAATGCGATATACCACCAGGAAATCGCCTTTGTGTGTTATTTTCTGAGGTCAGATTGTGGATTGTTTTGAAGTTAGTTTGAATAAATCATGAAAATGTTGTGAAAAAAACAATTAAATTTCACATTCAATACCATAAGACAGACCATAATCTAATCAGATTTACTGATTTATCAGAGAAAGCGATCTCTTCGAAAACCGGTCATGCGAATATGCACTTTTATCATTGGCGGACTGGTGCGAATAAATCATCATTGACCATGCATGATCTATCATTATTTGAATCAAAAAATTCGGATAAGAAAAATAAATTAAATTATCTCAATTATTTTATTCATGTTTAGTTATCGTCATTCCGCGACCAATTCTCGATGTCGCTGACGTCACATCCTATTCTATTACGCTAAATTGGACTTTGCCGATCAACGAACTTTTTGATGAATTTGTAGTTGAGGTGAGAATGAATATCTTTATAAATATACTAAAATGAGTATTTTTTCTTCCTTTTATGTATACAATATTAAGTCAATTTTTCCTCACCATAAAACCTATTTCTCTTTCATCTTCTATTATACGTTTTTAAAGCACGATTACTTTTATCAAAACACCTAAAGTGAGTTGGACAGTTAAAATATACTAATTAATCGAACAAGGTTGATGTGCTTTTGAGTGTTGATATGTCTCTTTAGATTTCTCCCGAAGAAGGAGATGTTTTAGATTTTGAGCCAAAAGAAATGAAGAGAAGTTTTATTAATCTAACACCTGGAACTTTATATACATTCACTGTGCGCACAGTGCGACAAGAAACATTCAGCGACACATCTGTATTGTTGCAAGATACGGGTAAGAAAGCGTTTAATTATATATTTCCTTCTTTTCTGCCTAATGTAGGACGAACGTGTCAAACAGATTATAAAAAGGACCTAACCACATCAATAAAATTAACGTCAATTGCCGTAAATAGGCATTTTTAATGTGATCTCGACTGAACTCTGAACCGAACCAAATTATCGCAAATTATCATGTAATTATAAGTAAGGTTCATACAAGTATTTTGCAATCCTTACATGGACCGTTTATGGTTAGTTTAGGGATTAAATAATACATGCTAAGTAGCTCTAATTAGAGTAATCTATGTAGAACCACGATATATTGTATTTCGGTGCTTGAATGATAAGTATTAGAGCGGATGACTTGTTTCTGGCCTTGTTTGTATAAATTGGTAAAAGAGCTTTATACAACACTTTGTGTTTGACGTTTGACACTTTCCCGCCAAATTTATATTTCTAGTAGATAATACCCCGTGATTTATGAAAGTTTATTATTGCTTAGTGCTAGTCTGGCACTCTAGTCATATTTCATGTGCCATACGTCATACATTACAAATATAACGCTTGAAATACGAAAAAAAAATCATTTTTCCACCATCAAAACCTTTTAGTAAGCGTGGGAAATTGCGAATCTGCGGTGCCGTTAGTTCACCACAATTTGCTTCAGGGCGATGAAAAACAACTCAAAACGACATTGTTTTCTACAAATGCAATTTAATGATAAAAATCATCAATATATACGTGTGAAATATAATTTCAAGTGGCTGTACAACAAGTTTAGTAATAGTTGAGGTACAAGCTCAGCACGGCACTTAAAAACTGAAACACGAAATAATTTTATTTGAATTTCCATCGTAGACACTATAGATTTGATGTCGTTAAAGATGATTAGAGATCTACGACAACCTATTGTACAAATGCAATTCTTTGAGATACAATTAAAATATTTCTTTGCCAATTTATTCAAACTCAACCCAAAACTGATGAAAAAATTGTAGCCGAGATCTAATATGAATATGTATAATGTAAAAACGATCTCCCGATTAATAATTATCCCATGGTGTGTATCGGGAATTGTATAGCGATTTTTATAGTCGTCTAATATTAATACAAAACTCATATTTAAATCAGTCGACCCTTTAAAAACATTTGTTTTATGGTTAATATTATCTGTGGGCTACTTCATCTAATTTCATCACAAAACTATTAATTTTTGTTGATATTTACAAATCGACACGAATTATTATTTCTGAATCGATAAAATTCTCATTAGAAAACTGAATCGCGAACATCGACATTCAATCTGGATTATGTTGCTATACACAGAATATGAGATGAAAAGTGTTGTGGGGAATTTTCATTCGTTTAATTTCTCAACAACGTTTGATTGTAAATTGATACTCTAACACGAAGCGAAAGTATGAAAATACTGTCCAATTATCCACAATTAAGTTTGAATTTTCTTCCTGATATGTCGTAATTGTCATATCAATTTCATTAAATTAATTTCATATCGTAATATTGCCATGATATTATCCTCCTTTGCTTATCATGAGTTTGCTGCCGTCAGCTTGAAAGATGTAATTATTGACTTAGTGGATTTCACTTGTTTTTAAAAAAAAATGGAGTTTGGTCTGAAATTTTGCGTTTTACGCCAGTATCTCACTTTTGCACTCCAAACAAAGAAACAAATACTGCTTCTATAAAACAGGTTATTTTCTATTATCATTCCTTATTCAATTAATCGTAATCTGGTAGAATGGGTGGGCAGCCTGGTCTCTTCCACATCTCTGCAACATTTCAATCACTCTCCCATCATTCCCAATAATCGGGAAAAATTAGTCAGATTTTTAATAAAAATATCTTATTTTTAGTACCCCTCCCTCCCAACGAACTCGAACTTCGAACCTTCGACACTTTGGTTCTTGTACTCGGAGGTCCTTACTTTCAAGATACCGAATTCACTGTTGATATCCACGGGGTCGAAGCAACTTGGGGAGAGCCAGCGGATGGAATATCGGAATGTTATCACGCGGAAATTTTTGATGAGGATGGCCTACAGGCAATTCCAGGAGGAGAAGGCGAGGTAAAGTGTTGATAAACTAAAAATTCACCGAAGAAATTGATATAAATATGCTTCGTGGTGCATGATAGCAATTTTTTCAATGAGCTTGAAAGTGGAGAATGGAAAAATCCAGTGCAAAATATACCTAACATTACCAAGAATGTATGGATCAGCCAAACCTTCCCCGCATAAATAATTGTTATAAGAATTGAATTCAGTTTTTCTATTCCTGCGATGCATTTTAGTTGCAAATTAGCCTCACTCGCCTAATACTATACTGGTAGTAAAGTTTCACAAAACATTTTATTTTCGATTAATTTAGAATTAGACAGTGAGATGGAATTATATACTGAAAGCATCCGTGGAATGCGAATGGAGTATAACTTGTCTAAAACGTGCCATTTAAAGGGAACATGTGAAAATTCAACAGCTATTTCGGTTACATTAAATTTAATTTGACGAATCCCACAATCTAAACACCGTAATTTGAATAGTCCAATAGTTAAAATTTTAATCTGAACAACAAGTAGTAATTAGACTGTCTCATATTTTCTAGTCAGTCACTGTAGGATATAAACATATATACTAGCTAACAAAAGAGCAATGCTCAAATATATAGTAATAGCCTTCTGGAGAAAAATTTTATCTTTAACCACTGAAAATATCAAAGCAATTGGTCCAGTATTCGAAGAGAAAAGCGATTTTTTTAAAATGGAGACGGAGACAAATAACAATAACAATAACAACAAAATTTTGAAACGATCGTTATGGCCGCTAAACGTGTCCAAAAACGATCCATAGGTCCACTCTGTGTCCAATAATTATTACACATCGGCGGATGCTTCTACATAGCCACGTGTCGGAGTGAAAGCGGTGGGAATGTATAAAGACAGACGTTAAGAGCCAGTCAGACCAGCCAGATCAGTCGATCTGTTTTCTCTTTGTGAGGGGGTCTAGCTTCGAAATCGGTTGGTTTATAAAAACCTTGAGTAATTGTTTTATTACCGTAATTAGCACAATTATACACAGATACAAGAATGATATATAAATAGAAGCGTGGTATGTCTACAGATAATACTAGATAAAATTGGAGAATATGTAAAGTGCTTGTTTTCATACTAGTGTATATAGGCAATAAGTTAATAACGTAAAATCGAGATATCAAATTACTGAATGGCTTAGTTGCGATTACATGACACATAGAAATACTTGTATTTTTAACATTCCATCTGTGCGCGTCATAACCGTTACGTTCAAATTTTATCCAAAAGCTAAAAATGAATTTTTTTTTTTCATTTCAGGTCGACAGAGGCGATACTTTGAGACAATTCGTAAACTTAACTCCAGGAAAGAATTACAAAGTTACGGTATATTCTTCAACTTGCGGAGAAGGCCATTTAGGAGAACTGAGGTACAGTATTTACCGTTAAATACTTTGTCAGATTAAGTCAATCCAAAACAAGTTTAAATGACGTCATTTGATCAGGAGTATTCAAAATAAAATTCTAGTAATAGCTGAGTACAGATTAACACTTAATACCTTAAAGTTATAAACAAGCAATTAAAAGTGACAAAAAGTATTTAATTTGTTTATATGGCATACCACATAAGGTTTTTACACCTCATAATTTAGCCTAAAGCAAACTGCACATCATATCAAGTACCTGCAAAAATATTTACTGAAATTTGCCAAACCTTATTATCCATCACAAGAACCAAATATTCAATGACTATCATAATAATATCGAGGGTTGCTGAAAATTTTCTCATTTTATTCACTCCAAAATTCAATAATATTTTACTTATTGTTCTCGCTGTATAGGAGTGATGGAATCTCATCGGAAATTCGACTTCCGCCTGCAGATCCTCCAACGATCATTGTAGAAGAAGTGACAACCACTACATCAGAATTAAGATGGGATAAAGAGAAAATTGAAGGATTTTACGACGATTTTGAGGTAACTTCGTTACATTTTGAAATATGGGTTATTACCTTGGAAAACCAGATATTTACTGTCATCAGAAATTGTTGATATGGATAAAATTTTTAATGATGATAGGCTACTAACCAACCTACACTTACTTAAATAATTTTCCGTTTCTAAGCCTAAATTAAATTCGCGATAGCACACTTTGCAATCTGTTTGATTATTCCTCGCGATTATTTTGTAAACTGTAGGTTTTTTTTCTCTTACTTAGGTTGTTCAAGTTGGCGATTCACCCAGCAGTATTGTCATCGATGATCCTGCATCTCGTACAACTCTTGGTAGAAATTTATCAAATTTAATACCGTGTTCAAAATATGAAGTTGATGTCTATACTTTACTCGACGGACAAAGAAGTAAAAATGGACAACGGGCAATTGTTGAAACACGTACGTACATCTGAGAAGAATATGAAATAGATTTTCTTGTCCACAGAGAAATAGAGAACAGTGGATCTAAAAGAGTGGCTCTCAACCGTGGTTTCGCGCACCCTGAGGTTTCGAAAGTTCCCATTCAAATCAGAGAGTCTATACCAGAGGTGGGCAAAGTTTTCGGGCCGGGGCCAAAAATTTCGCCCATCTAAACTGGCGGGCCATTTAAAGTATCAAGTAAAATGTATTTTTATGGACAATATTTACAGTGTTACAAATACAAAAGTGGAAAACGATAGGCCTCGTGTCAAAACCCAATTCAATCGCAATCCCAACAAATTCCTTGAACTATTTTTGCTAAAGACAGCAAAATTTGGTTTTAGTTGGTTGTGACAGCATCAGGCGTGCCAGATTGAATTACCCGATGGGTCGGATATGGCCCGCGGGCCAGTTTGTTTTATACTTATAATTCAGACATAAAAGATGATTAAACAACTACACAGGGGTTCATAGAGCCTGTGGAATGTTACATTGGGGGTATGTTACCTCAAAATTTTATAAACCACTGCTTTGGAATAAGATAATCCGGGTATAATATATTGCATAGAAATGCAGCAAATGTACTTAGATCTTTTGATTTAAAAATACATGGAGAAACACAATCAATGTGATTTTTCTGATGCTTCCGCCTTTTGCTTGCGCAAAATTTTCTTTAAATTAGGGTTTGAGTCAAGTTTTTCTTTTAGACTGCGGCTCAGCAGAATGCTGTACCTAGAACAATAGATATTGTAGTTGGTTACATAGTACGAACACATTCGATTGTAAACTGTGCATATTTACAATTTTTGTGACATAATAGTTCGTATAGTATTAGGCAAACACAATCAGTTGTACACTCTGCATATATACATACATATGTAATACTGGTAAAGTACAGCTAAAGTAAAGTACCTTTACAATATAAGTTTTGTGACGAAGTCAATTCTCAATGAATTTTAACCAGGTTTGTTGTGTTTTTAATCAGTAACTGTTTAAGTATTTTGACTTCATTTAATACATCTGTGAGAGCCAAAACACTATATGGTATCGATAAATTCCCTTTGAAACTCCAAAATGTTTTTACCCTACCCCATATATATGCATATATGTGATTTTTCGAGATATAATTCATTCGTTTCATTGCATTCTTTGTTTCTAGTTCCGAATGATCCAATAGACCTTGTTCTCGTCGACTTCACCGAATCATCTGCAACTTTGGAATGGCGCCAGCCTATCGGTTCAACTTTATTTGGTTACATTATTCAAACGACACCACCGCCAGAAAAACCGCTTCGGACAAATGGTTAGTTAATGATTATTCCTTGTGGTTTTATTTTTGGTTATGAAAGTGGTTATAACTTCGTAATGGTACTGATTTAATGAAAGATTCAATCAAAAAAATAGTATCGCATGTGGCCAATTATATATATATATTTTCCGAATGCTGTCAATATTTCATTGCGACTGTAAGATTAGATTTTGGCTAAACAATGATGTGAAAAACATGGAAAATAGAGTAGTGGGATTCAGCATCGCAAAGAAGGGGGACAAGCTTGCCTCAAAATATCTGTGATTAATTGAATGATAATGTGTCAGGAAATAAATTTGCTTTACGCTACTATTTTGGATTTGAATTCTATCGAACGGTACAAAATATTGCAGTGTAGTTATGTAAGGCTCATGGTACGACTGTGATTCCATATGGGTTGCTTTTCAGTTTTTGATTTTAATATATCCGACAATTAACCGGAGAGAATTTATCTTGGAAAAAAGTAATAACGAAAATATTCTGATGGTTCTGATGTCTTTTTAACAAATAAGTATTTTTAAAATAATACTGTCATGCGGACTTGTAATTTATCGGAAATATGTCTTACATTCTAACTAAACGGTAGAACACTTGGGAGGGCTCACATTTATTTATGTTATTTCTTATTTCAGAAACAAGTATTACACTTGAAGGATTGCTTCCTGGAATCCAATACAAAATTGAAGTAAAATCGGTTTGTCAACTGACGGAACAAACCCTAAGTACTGGAACTACAACAACTATGACAACAAGTGAGCCAATGGCTATTAAATAAGTTTTATGATAGCCAAAATGTATCCAATTAGTATATATGTATAACCTATAAACCCAACACATTTGACGTTTGAATGAAACCTTGTTCACCAAATGCTACCAAGCACTAATGTGAACAAGAGCGCAAAACTCAAATATATTAGCATGAAGGCCTATATGAAGTAGTATCGTTATCAAATATTTTACAGAATCGGTAGTGTTTCCGACTTCTACTGACCACCAGATCGCCAATGCGATTGCGGAACCGCCACGCGGTGCGCAATTTTAAATTTGTTTGACGTTATCATACTAAGCTCAGTGAAAAAATATCATAAAGCCCACAACAATTTTCTCCATAGCGGTCTAGCGACAAGAACAATCTTTAATCACTGAAAATTTCAAAGCAATTGGTCTAGTAATTGAGGATAAAAACAACAACAACAAAATACCAACAACAACATAAAAAAGAAAACGATCCATATTAAAGAAAAAGGCTTTACGTATATGGCAATTGATAGAAAGTGTAATGAATCTCGGCGAATACTTTGAACCGCAATTAAATATTACTCTTTGCCAGGGATGGCCATTTCCGAATACTAAACTATTCCGAATACATTCTAAAATAATGTTTTCGAATCTGGAATTCCGAATACATTCTAAAATCGAAAATAACACATTTTTGTTTAGTTTATTAAAACCCAGTAAATTAGGAAATAAGCTTCAATAAAAATATCAGAATAAAGCCACAAACCAACAATATATGTACACAAAGTAATTGATAGTTTATACTTATAGCTATCAATAAAAAATAATAGAAACTTGTGACACAGTCAGTTTAAAATTATTCACTTTGTACAAATGACCATATAAAAAGATAGCCAAGGAGTTGTCTGACGCTTTCTATTCATTGGTATCATGATATTAAGTCTATTGACAAAAATACTACTTGTATTCAGATAATTGTGTATATTTTCTGAGAGTAATAAAATTTATTGGCGATACAGGCAACTGAAACAAGCAACAACAATCGAAAATCCATTATGCTTTTAAAAATTCTAATATTTAAGCATAGAGTATTCTACTACCTACCAGTATATTTGTATATTCATTTATGTGAACCATATTGTTATTATGTGTAACATATTGTTGTGTTTGAAATTAGAAATAAATTAGTAGAGGATAGATGACCACCACTGCCAGCCGCGCAGCCAGTATTGTCGAAATCGGAAATTCCCATTGCCACCTGTAACACCCAAAGTGACTTTGGTAACACCCACCGCGATTCCGTGCTCGTTAAAAGAGCCGTCTTTTAGCGTATAATGATCATCCTGTTACGTAAAATATTCAATCCATGACAACTACGAGTTTCTGAAATATCTTAATATATTAATTTAATGTGTCCAATGTAACTCGCGGTTGCTTCTTCTTACGTCAAAAAAAAAAAATACAATACTATTCGGTCCACGGCGATCTGTGACCTAAAAGTACGAGATAAACTGCCTGATGTATTTAATTTTAATACGTATTTTTGCAATCTTGCCAACCCGTTATCGCCGTTAGAAAAATCTCAAATAATGATATAAAATCCTGTTAAGTGTAGAGTATAATTCATTTCATACAATGAATATAAATATAAAGTTTAGCAGTAAATTGAAAATACGTATTCATTGCCGCGATTATGCCACCTGTTAAAAGAGTCGACTTTTACAACAAATAATATAACAACGAATATATATTTTTCTGCTGTGCAAAGTGATGAATTCGTGACCGATACGGGCATATTTAAAATGTCTTGCTTTATGAATTTAATTGTCTTCAATTTAACCTGCGGTTGCGTCGACAAAATAAAATCTCACCACTCTTATATACCATTGCAATCCACGGTCATAAAAATAAAAACGTGTGATAAACTGCCCGATTAAATAATGTTTTGATCCGTATTTTGCGAATTCGGCAAATACTTAGTTAATGTACTTGTTAACAGTGTCTCCGCTCAATCGAAATGCTGCCACTCTGATTATTTTTAGATAAAACCGTTCGAAAAATCCATAAATCTTCTGTAACATCTCGGAGTGAAATTTATTTCATCAAAATAAAATTGATTGAATATACTTTGAAAATATTTGACGGCAATTTAAAGTAATGGATAGTCAGGCATATCCCGCCTGCAATTCGTGACGATATGTTTTTAAACGCCGACCAGACATAATGTGTGCCAGAGGCACACGAAATTCTGCGATTTTCACTGCCTAGAAAAGCGTTTTTTAAATTTTCGCGGGCCTCAATAAAACTTATTTTGGTTACGGTTTTATTTTCAGTCTTTTAAATTGCCGCTTTTCAATCAAAAAGTTGCGTTGTCTTTAGAAACTCGCGCCGATGAACGTATTTACCAGATTCACAATTCCGTGCGCGTACAAAAATAAAATAATTGTCTTCGTTATCGTGGAACAAATTTGTGAAAAATTTTGGTCTTAGAGAAAATAACACAAACGTAAAAGCGTTTACGGCCCAAATAACACTTTACGCTGATGAGTGATGAAAACAATCACGCGCAAGTTTCTATCGAGAATGTTTTCATTCAACGGAAACGTCTTGAGAGCGGCGTCGAAAATGTGTGACGTCACACAAATATCCGATATTCTTATGAACGCTAATTCCGATATTCGAATGACAAGATATTCGAATACATTCGAATACTTTATTCGAATTGGCCATCCCTGCTCTTTGCGCAGTGCAGAGTGAATTTGGTTCCATACATTTTGTACAATTACGTGTTATCTTTAAATAGCTCGTTGTGGTCATGACGACATTAATATATCATTAACTCCTTTTGGTAGGAGCAACCATATGTAGTCATGTTTTAAATGATCTATTACTCTAAATTGTTTTTAATTTTCACTTAAATGAACTTTTCATATAAATGAAGGTATAGTGGTTCTCCCGTAGTGTGTGTACCATGTTAGGGTTATGCCATAATTTTATTCCAATTTTCCCTATTTTAGTTCTATTACGAGTTCGAGGAGTGTCAGTGTTAGCCAAGTAAATATGCCCCATGCCCATAGGTTTCAATCCCTTTACACAACTTGATGTAGAGTAGGCGAACAAAATTAGTTACCTCTATATTGGTACACACACTTCTGAAGCGCCATATATTTATATTCAATCTGACATTTTGCATGCAGACAGTTCTACTTTTATATATATATATTAAACTTGGAAACAATGTCTAAAAGAGAATGACGCTACAAGTACCTTAAAATTGATATTTATATATATATAAATTATGCATTAAGAGCCACTTCCTCCTGTCGTAACAACATCCGAATGTACTTACATTGGTACTGATGACGAAACTAAATCTTTGTATGAACTTGTACCTTGGGAAGCTCCTGACCCTTCGAGAATAAATTTGACCTGGTCAAAACCAACTTCCGGGTCGTGGGATAACTTCCTGGTTGATTACTCACCCTATGAGTTTGAGCAAGGTCTTTCATCACCGAGTGCTCCGATGATACTCGGGAATGATGTAATCAGAACAGAGGTATGAACTTTGATTTTATTATTAAATACAATTTAGCTAGGTCAAACAAACAAATACATACTGCTTTTGAGAAAAAAAAAAATTTTCTCACTTTTGTTGCAAATTGAACAAAATAGAAACATTCAAATTTTATTTTGTATCTTTTTTTTAGTCTAAAGAAGTTTGACTATGATCTAACGAAAGCTATCAAATACACTTGCTATTTTGTGGAACGAGATTGTGTTATTTTTATTCATCACTTTGTTATTCTTATTCATCACTTTGATACTATCTCGTTCGAGTATCCTTGTGGCAAAGTCCACATACGAATCTGAAGTAGACAAGGAGAAATGCCTTGTAGTTCAATATCAACATCCTAATACTTTCCGTACATACAATTAATTTGAAAAATAGTAAAGTGATCCGTCTAAGTGCAATCTGATATATATAAAGTTTCTTTCAATGAATTTGGGAAAACTTATTTAAACTTGCTTCGAGTTGTAATTTGGGACGTCATACCGCCGGATGAGAACAGAACAGACCTAAGTCACAATTTTGAGTTTTGAGAAAATCGCAAAAAACAATTTGGAATTTTTTTATTTTCGGATTTCTAGATATTCCCACTTAGTAAAGTCCTGAGCTCTGGTTATTTGAATGTGGATGAGAATATCTTTGTAATCAATATTTTTTGGCACTTCAGCTTCAATTCCTACCTGCTTTTTTTACCCCCATAATGGATTTTGGCCCATTCTGTTCTCAACAACTTATGAAATTTTTTGTATGGGATGCAAGGTAAAACGAGTTGACTTAGCCTAGGTTGCATTGAACAAAATTTTGCACATTTGATTTCTGATGTTCATGTCCATCATATTGGAACTTAGGACTATCTTTTGCCAATATTTTGGGCTTTTGAGCCATGCTCTACAAGGTAGTAGTCTTGAAATCCTGAATTTCTCAATAATAAAAATTTTAGCTGGACTTAGGCACATTCTGTTCTCAAATATTTTAGTCCCAAGTCCAGCTAAAATTTTTATCATTGAGAAATTCAGGATTTCAAGACCACCACCTTGTAGAGCATGGCTCAAAACCTCAAAATACTGAAAAAAGTCAATCTTCCAAATATGTGACCTAGGCCCCTTCTGTTCTCATTCGGCAATACATTCCGTTGTTCTGGTTGACATTTATCTTTGTTCTAATTAGCATGTAATCACCTGCAAATATATACCCAGATGTTTTTATGGCGGTATCACAAACGCATTTAGGCATACTTCGCAATGCGGTAGAGAATTTAAAAATAAATAAATTGTGTGTATTAACTATTATGTGCGTGTCAAAAATAACAATTGAATCTAATCATCTTTACTTCGTGACATCATGGGCAAACAAAATTTTACCAGAACTTTATTGGAAGCTTTCGAAGTATGTTTACCAGGTTAGGGTTAGGCCCTAATTTTATTCCGATTTTCATTATTTTAGTTCTATTACGGGTTCGGGTACTGTCTGTGTTAGCCAAGTGAATATACCCCGCCCCGCCCACTTGATGTAAAGTAAACGAAAAAAAATAGTTATTTCTATATGGGTACACTTGTACACATACTTCTGCAACGCCATTTATTGAATGTGTGATAACCCGTTTTAAATACTTTTCGAATTCTTTTTTCAACCCTTAATAACGATTAGCTGTTTGAATATCGGTTCGTGGTTCATGTAAGAGATAATGTTAGTAAAGTTTCTGATGATTCCTATGATTTTCTCAGACAAGACTTCTCACTTCAAATTATTGTTGCACTATATATACGACTTACTATTTATTATATTGGTGTTTCTAACTGTGTAAAATTGGTTACAGATAAACATACCGGTATCAGGCAGAGTCATCACTGCATCTATAAGAACAATAAGTAACAATGTGGTGAGCGAACCCGTGGTCAAGTCAATATTTTGTGGTAAGTTTTTCATTAGGAACCATGTTAAAATTATCCTATGAGCGACTTGGTTCATAAGTGGTATCATTTGGTGGTCTTTTCAGACGTCTTTACATGCACTGGCGCAGCCAGGGGGAGGATGTGTTGGGTGCTATTGCATCGTGCTAACATCGCCGATTGTTTCCGCCAGCGTGACGTGTTATATTTAGGCCGTAAACACCTGTAGGTTGGTGTTTATTCTCCTTAAATTGCATTGTTCTACGACAACGATGATAATTACGTTATTTTTGTACTGATTAAAATTGTAAATCCGGTGAAAGTTATTATACATTCATCGGCGGCGAGATGCTAAGGACAAATAAAGGAGTGAATTCGCGACACAAGGTTTTTGATTGAAAAGCGGCAATATAAAGTACTAAAAATAAAACCGTAAATAATATAGGTTTTGTTGTAGGAGTCCCGCGACAGATTGAAGAAGCTTCTCTAGGCATTGTAAATCGCAAAATGTCGTGTTTCTACGGCACACATTATGTTTGGTCGGCGTTCGTCATAACTTTTCGTGTTAGCATTATACAAGGCACGACTTTTTCCCGGCTTGTGATGATATATACGATAATTAATTCGAAGTATATTCAATCAAGTTTTATATTATAAAAATGAATTTTTCTTCGTGATATTTTATAGCAGATATTTTATATTTTCGAATTCGCGAAATGGCAAAAATACCAATCAAAACCAGATATAATCGCACACATATTTTTATGCCCGCCGATTGCCGTGGTATTTTAGAGTAATGATGCTTTAATTCTGTTGACGCAACCGCAGGTCAAATTGGAGGCAATTAAACTAATAAAGCAAGACATTTAAAATAGGATTTAAAGGCGATGAAAATGTATATTTGATATATTAATATACTTCATATGTATATTTATCGTACTAAATTATATAGTACTCTATGGGATTTTACATCAGATCTTAAGATTTTTCGACGGTAACGAATTCGCAAGGTCGCAAAAATATATATCAAAACTAAATACAATCAGGCAGTTTATCTCATATTTTTATGTCCACAGATTGTTGTGGTATTTTAGAGCAGTAATGTTTTTATTTTAACGTAAGAAGACGCAACCGCGAGTTCCGTTGGACACAATTAAATTAATATAGAAGTACATTTTAGGTTCTCGTAATTGTCATGGATTGAAAATTTTACGCGACAAAAAAATCATTATACGCTGAAAAAGTCAGCCTTTCTTAACGAGCTCGTAATCGCGGCGACTGTATCGGAGAAGAATGGGAATTTCCGATTTTAAAACCCGCCATTTTAAAAATCCTGGCTGCGCGCCTGTGTAACGTGCTTAACAAAGTTTAAAAATAATTTGTTATATATATTTCAGGAGGTCCTGACGGCGAGTCATCTCTGAGGTGTCGAAGTATTTTACTCTATTGGACAATCAAAATAACGCCAATAGAGAATGCCACAAAATTACTGGTTGAAATACCAAGTTATCCCATGTAAGATTTCAAAATGTAAAACAATTTATAATTCATAAAAAAAATCTAGAAAAACACGGATCAAATGATTAAAAATGGTCGTTCAAGGATTCCAGCTTGGAGAAATGATTTACAATGTACTCAAGTCATTAGAAGTCAACTTGTGCAATGTTTGAGTATAAGACGTTCTTTCCCTATCATAACATCATTTTGCATTTCGAAATATTCATTTTATAAAAAGAGTGTTGTTAAACTTGTTACATAGAAGAAAATAGTGGACTTAAAAAATGAAGAAAAAATTTGTAAGGCAAATATACCAATTTTTATAGATTTGAAATTGCTATTGCAGGTGGCGAAATTCGTATGGTGTTTCACTTTATATTTGTTATTTTTTTCAGATACAATGCAACGGTTTTTATGGGCGATTCGAATGAAGTGTTGATGTTTTATAATCATACATTTACTATTCGAAATCCTTGCGATAAAGGACCGGCATCGCGGATCACCGTCTTCCCACAGTGTCCTTCCATACTTCCATTTTGTCCAACAATAACAAGAAGACTTTGCAGTAAGATTACGTTTTTTTCCGCATCCACATTTTATAAACATTGTTTTGCTGTTACGATCATGCACATTAAACTCGGATACGCGGTCCGCGATCATTTATATTCGAGTAGTTTGTCAAAACATTGAATAAATTAAAGAGGAAGGCAATTTTTCTACAACAAGAAAAGAAGGACTGACCATAAGAACAACATCATAATAACAAAACTATCATTAGGTGCATTTCGTGTCCAATATTTGATAAATTATAGGCTTCACTCCGCTTAAAAATAAAAATGTATGAAATACAACCCGCTGTTTTTTCCTAATTTTTCATGTACTCAAAAGTCACAGTGTTTGCTTTCGGGATGAATATACTAAGTATATTTCAAGCTATAAAGTGACTGGTGTAAATTATTAAAAAATAAATTGCCTAAACTTATTACTTTACATTGATTGAGTGTGACCCCAGCAACTAATCTGCAGATTGTGCGAATTTCATTTTTAACATTTTGAAAAATTTCACTTTTAACAATCCCACTTAAGTTACAATTAAATGCACCTCCACTGACGTAACAAACTAATAAAATTTAGCAAGCATTTCCATACAAGACCACCTAATGATAGTTCTCTGGCCTTCAATTATTTTCTACATTGAAACAAATACAATAAGAGGGTATTTTGCAAATTCAAATTGACAATTCTGATCTAAATCTTTTTTTTCTGCAGCCAATCGACGAGGCCATGTTGAGGACTTGGTAATTCCTGACGCATGTTGCAACAGTAGATTGTACAATACCGATGTAAGTGATAAACTTATAATATCTAACTCAAATTTTAATAAGATACTAACCATAGAACCAGGGTTCCCGCCCATAGGCTTCTATGATTCTACTCAGCAACCCTTTTGAAACAATCTAAATTCAACAGTATTACTTGACTTGTGTTTATACTTGTACAACTTTTTTAGAATGAGGTATGCTGCCACAGCAAACTATTGAAAAAATTTGAAAGATCAACAGAAGAATGCTGCGTAACAAGATGGTACAACAGAAAAACACAAAAATGTTGTGAAACAAATCCTTTAACAAAATATCATGTAGTTAAAAATGGTGCTTGCTAGTCGCCAATGCCACAATGTTTTTATTTATTTACCCAATACCACTGATGCCAGATTTGGGCGGAACTTTCATGTGTAGAGTTACTTTTATTTCTCACCGCTAGCAAACTGGGGTTTTCAGGCAAACACCCCTTTATGTTAAAAATGGCTTCAAGCTATCTAGAAAGAATGGACCTATCAATTATTATAACTGACCGCTTTTCTCGCCTTAGAAAGCGTGAATTATGGATATATAAATGAAGGAAGACAGTAGTTATTTTCTATATTTTTTTTGTATTTGTGCTATCGATTGGGTTTCTACAGGACTAAATACTTATCCTTTTTCTATGCTTTTGTGTGGGTGGATCCGTATGCATATAATGCAAAGATACCGTAGCAAGAGTGAAGAGCAACTATCCTACGTGATTCAAGAGTCTTGCTGGTGGCTGCGCACCAACAGCAAACAATTGTATTTTCTTGCTTTATGACATGGACAACATTCACAAAATTTCAATCTGTTGCGCCAAATATGGTATCTGAATATTTATCAATAACACATGGTCAATCATGCTTGTATTGACGATATCTAAGAAATTTATGTATATTTATTTTAATTTGTGTATCTATGAATCATGTGTTCACATGCTGTGGTTTTTTAAAATTAGTTTCAATAAATGAGCAATGAGAAATATACACATCTTGCATGTGCAAATGGATTTTTCCCGATCCTGGACCCCAGGAAATTTTTTCCTTTGATTTGAGAGTTTTCGCGGTTGATATGTTTATAATCATCATATTATTTGAAATATTTAATCACCTAATTTTGATGACCATAACTCCTGGTAGGAAAAATGGTTATCGTGTTATTTGAATCGTATCCAAACTGTGGAAACTCAACTAAAAACTGACGGGGACAAGCAAAACCCCGAAGACGAGCAAATGTTTACCACCATTTCTGAAAATTTGTCTGAATATAGTGTCTGAACGAATGATAAGATTTCAATTGTTACGTCACCGTTGACATCTTGCTGATTTAACCAATGTTACGGAACAGAGAAGTCGATGCTATGGCAAACGTTCATTACGAGATTATCGCCACCTGTATTATTTGTTTTAGACTCAAAGAGTCAAATTAATGAAATGAATCAATTATAAAAGGAATAGGATTTTGGTATTATTCCGAAACAACAAAAACAAGACACACGATTGCGAACCACCGCGTTCAGTTCCGTTACCGGTTCAGGTCGAATGTTGAATTAGTTGAAGCACGGATTCGTTGGAAATTTAATCATTGGTTATAACACACCCATAACGTTTTCTGAACACAATATTCTGTTAAAGCAGACGACCCAGGGCTAAGAAGGTCCTCAAGTAGCTGCGCAAGTCTCCATGTGCGAGCTAATGAACAACAAGTAAACTTATCAGCGCAATCCAGAGACATGTTGAAACATTCGCATACGGACGGCTGTTTTGAATACAAAAGAAACATAGACCAAAGTTTTCTTGTGCATGCAGTTTCAAAACGCCGTCGAATAAGTAACACTCAAATTCAAATTACCTCGAAAAACAATGTTCCTCTATTTTGAACAATGTATTTACTGCGCATTGCAAACTTTTTGTCTTCCGCTGTTCTTTTAGTCAGTTAATACAGCTAAGATGACTAAGTTTCCATTGTTAAATGTCAAAACAGACGATGAGGCACTTCTTTACGGTATATTAGCGGGTCGCTACAGCATGTTCATTACCGATCAGTTACTGATAGTCGTAATTGTCAGCTAAGCAGAAAACGACTCATGAGTAAAAGTATGCTATGCATAGGGGAGATATAAAAAAGATAAAGAAGATACGACGGGGAAAGAGAGAAAAAAAGTAATCGAGAAACACATGAAGAGTGTGATCGACTCAAGAACAATAGAAACTTTCAGTCATTCCACGTTCTGAGACTTTCGAAAATAACCAGTCAACATATCTGTAAACGACTATCTTGAACTTGAATTTTTGACAGCAGATATCCAAACTGGAATATGTGTTGTTTGTCGCCATTACCATCTGTTCAGTATATAATGCAGGGCTTCCCAACCTTTTTTGGCTGTGAACCACTAATTTTGAAAGTTGTATGGACCCCCACGTTAAATCACTTGCTGTCTTAATAGAACTATTTAATGCTAGTATACTCAGTATTATTATCCTATTTAATTTCGGGTGCTCCCGAAGTATGCGAACCAAAATGGCGGACACCGGAACGTAGTATGTGTACCAGGTTAGGGTTAAGCTATAATTTTTTTTTCTAATTTTCATTATTTTAGTCCTATTACGAGTTTGGGGACTAGCCAAGTGACTCCTGTAGTATTTGTGCCTAAAATTATGGCCTAACCCAAATCTGGTACACATACTACGTTCCGGTGTCCGCCATCTTGTTTCACATACTTCGGGAGTACCCAATTTTGGACTGCCAGGAAGGTATGCCTGTGGCCCTTGCTCGTCGAGTTTGAGCTTTTCATCTCGTTTGATTCGGGTATACTGAGTTTGCATATTCATTTCGATTCCATTTTCAAATATACTATGATCAAAGCACTTCAATTAGTGTAGCTATGATAGGTTAATTCAATTATTTTATTATTTCCCTTTTCAATTCAGAACCCTAAGACATCTCTGTTGCCCGCTGGTCCCCTAGTATCCAAAACAAAAACTTTTTAATTCTCTAACAAAATTTATTTGTAAAAAGACTAACAGTGAGAACAGTTTCAGTGAGAACCTTGTGGCTGCTTGTTATTCAGAAGCATCGAGATCCAATTTAACATTAATCGAAGCACTAATCTAACAGGTGCTCTTTCGTTTATCCAACAACATATGAAAAGTTCAAAAACTTTAATGAAATGTACTCATTTAATATAATTATCACTTTATCTGTGGATCCCCGAAATCGTGCTATGGACCCTTGGGGTTCCACCAGGATCACGTTGGGAAGCCCTGATATTTTAAATAAGATGAATAACGTATTACACAAATCTGGTCGAGTAACTAAGAAATATATACGGTTGTTTGAGTTGAGAAAAATATGGTAATTTATGAAAATAAGCAATGGCTCGACTATTGTATTATACTAACGAGACCAAATTTACATATACGATTGATGAGATAGAAAGAGCTATCAATGAATGGTATATATATAGGCAAATTACGCGCCAAGCGTAACACTGTGATAAAAATGCAATCGTGCGTTGTATAAAGCAATCAGAAAGTATTTCCGTGTACCAGTAGGAAGTCACAGGATTTTAAATGCAGACAGCTGACGATATAATATAGGGGCAAAGTGTTTTACATATATTGCATTTTGTATTGGCTTAAGTGGTGATTCCATAAAATATGTTTATTTTTTTTTTTTCGCGATTTGGTATCAGCCTCGCATTTGTTGGATAGTTATTTTGAAATTATTTTTCGTAATTGATTTTTACTGATATTTCTAACAGTATGATTATTAATGTGGTTAGCCATCAGCTCATACCAGCTCATTAAAATTAGTCATTCCGGCAATGGACCATACATGCATCAGGTCGCGTTCGCGATCTTCATATTTGATTCGGGCGAAGTGCTAAATACACTGACTAGGAAACGTTTTGCCTTGTTAAATGCAAATCGCCCACGGAAATGATCCGCGCGCCGTAGCGCGGAATAATTGTCACATTATGCATGGCATGCCAGAACATAAATGCATCGTGATGGAAATTATAATAATTACTTTCCTATTGAGAGTGTATGGGACTATAAAGTGCGGTTTTTGAAAATTGGAGGTAATAATTGGGATAAGCGTATAGTTGTATTTGAAAAGCGATAGAAGTTTCTTTCAAAGAGTAATGTGAGAATGAAATTACATATATGCCAAATAGACATTATTAGGTATTGATATTGACTTTAAGTTATAACTGCGAGAGTCATAGTTTAGTGCTTCAGTAGGTAGGCCTACTCCCGTAGTGTGTGTACCAGGTTAGAGTACGGCCATAATTTTATTCCGATTTTCCTTATTTTAGTTCAATTGTGAGTTCGGGTACTGTCTGTGTGTTAGCCAAGTGAATCTACCTCCTGTCTATAAATATCAGTCCATTTACACAACTTGATGTAAAGTAGGCGAATACAATTAGTTACCTCCATATTAGTACACACACTTCTGGAGCGCCCTCGGGAGTACAGGCTCTGATTTAGCAATTCATGCCAACTACCCCAAAATGCTCCAGTATTAGTTAGTTTAAGAAGACCAAACTAGAAAGTTATCAACGTTAGCTCACGTGACTTTTGTGGTATCATTTTCCGAAGTTCTAAATCAGTGTTATCCACGCTAACGACGTTAAATAACTGTGATACTCAAATTGGCAAGGCCAAACAGTAATGCTCTCAGCATACGTCTGTGAAGCCAATCGTTTGAACCGCTATTTTATTTGCTGATATAAACAAGGCGATGTGGACAATGCTTGATTAGTATACAATCAAACGTAAGGGTTATTTTTTTATAATTAACCACAGTTTTGGAAAAGAAGAGGCGGGGTTTTACTCGGAGAGTCATTTCAAGTATTTTGGAAGGAAATTTAACGCAGTATTCATACAAAACATGCATGTCGCAAAGCATATGAATTACCTATAGACCCAGTGAAATAAAATACTTCTTACTTCCCTTATATTCCGGAATTATTGTCGCCACTGTCACAAGATGATCTATGTCCCTCATGCCAATTGAGAGACAGCAGACCAAGTCGATCTAATTATGTTAACAAATGACTGAATGACTTGAAGGAAATTGATCGTAGGCGTTGTGTAGGGGTTTTAATCGGATATACACAGTAATTAAACAAATATTTTTTGCTCAGGAAATGTTGTGTACAAGGTCATTTTTATGATAGTACTAGATGTTGAGTACTGAATAAATTATGACAATTTGAAGCAAAAATAAGATACATTGCCCAAACTTGAAACTTCACATGACGAAAAATACGCAAAAAAGCTCTGTTGGTGTTGTATACATATATCTAGAGCTTACTTAAGTCGATCTTAGTGTATATCAAAAGGTAAATAGAAACAATGTACTGTTAATCTGAATTCCACAAAGGTATTCAACCTAAGATATTACCCCTGGCTAGATCCTATGGAGACCCACCCCTTTCCCCCCTCCCGCCAGACTTTCACTGAAATGCATGCTGCCTAAAATACCTCGAATATCTAGTTTAGCTGCGATATTTTAAAAAAATGAATTTGTATTACGAAAACACCTGTTCCAAATTTTCATTTGGCGTCAAAATGTAATTAGGGTTTAAACAATTTATTAAAAAAAATTAAGGGCAAAATAATTATTTGATCAAATTATAGATCTAGCATCAAAACAACATAAAGCAATGTGCTGCGACACCCCCGCAAAATGTACATTTGTTATGGCAATTTTAACGAGACACTTAATAGGACGTTACGTCCTATGGCTGTTATGACCACGCTACTGAGAATAAAATAATTTAATTCACCACAATTTATGAGTAATCTACAAAAAAAAGTATTGTTAACATTATTTAATATTATTCAAATATGGAATAGATTTAGGATGTGTGTTTGATGTATGAGCAATACATATTCAATCTCGTCAAAAAAGGCGATTACCTAATATTAAACTATTTTTCGATTTTTTCAACAGTATTGCTTGATATTGCATAAAA